AAGGATCTGTACTGGGACCAGTGCAGTTCAACATATTCATAAATGATCTGGAAAAGGGGATAAAAAGTGAGGTGGCAAAGTTTGCAGATGATACAACATTACTCAAGACAGTTAAGTCCAAAGCTGCCTGCCAAGAATTACAATGGGACCTCAAAACTGAGTGACTGGGCAACAAAATGGCAGATGAATTTCAATGTTGAAAAATGCAAAGTAATGCACTTTGGAAAATGTAATCCCAACTGTACATACAGAATGTTAAGGTCTATATTAGCTGTTACTACTCAAGAAAGTGTTCTTGGTGTCATCATGAAAACAGTTCTCTGAAAACATCTGCTCAATGTGCAGCAGCAGTCAAAACATCTAACACCGTTAAGAACCATTAGGAAAGGGTTAGATAATAAGACAGAAACTAATATAATGCCTCTATATAAATCCATGGAACGCCCCCACAGCTTGAATACTGCATGCAGTTCAGGTTGCCCCATCTCAGAAAAGATACATTAGAATTGGAAAAGGTACAGGGAAGGGCAACACATATGATTAGGGGTATGGAACAGCTTCCATTTGAGGAGAGATTGAAAAGTATGGGACTGTTCATCATGGAAAAGAGATGACTAAAGGGGTTTATGGAAGTGTTATTTACCCCTTCACATAACAGAAGAACCAGGGTCATCCAATGAAATTAATAGGCAACCGGTTTAAAACAAACAAAAGGAAGTTCTTCTTCACACAATGCACAGTCCCCCTGGCTCCGAATTCCACAGGCTATGTGGTGAAGGCCAAAACTATAACAGGGTTCAAAAAAGAATTAGATAAATTCCTGGAGGATAGGTCCATCAATGGCTATTAGCCAAGATGGTCAGGGATGCAAGCCCGTGCTCTGGGTGTCCCTAAACCTCTGACTGCCAGAGGCTGGGCCTGGATGACGGGGTTGATCACTTGATAATTGCCCCATTCTGTTCATTCCCTTTGAAATATGTGGCATTGGTCAGTGTCAGAAGACTGGATACTGGCTTGATGGACCATTGGTCTGAGTGTAGCTGTTTCTGTATACAACCGTGTTAGCATTTTAAGTTGTTAAAGCACCTTGGAAAAATTAATTCTCCCACCATGGCTAGGAGGAGGGAAGTGCTGTCTCCTTTCCACAGATGCCCACACCGAGGCAGAGAGGAGTTAAAGGCTTGCTCTTGCTTCTGTTGAAATCAGTGGATGAAGTCCTTGAGACTCACCAAAGACCACACAGCAAGTCAGTAGGAAATCCAGGGTGAATGTAGAGGAAATCCAGCCACCCACATCATGTGTTCACTCCTGCATACCACGCTGTCTCACCTCGCCTTATTAGCATAATAAACCAATGGCTAGCCAAGGTTACACCAGCCTTATGTTCTAAACCTTATTAACATTACTCACATGATGGATACTGCCACAGCTACAAGACAAAATATATTGTGCTAACAAATCAGATTGCCAGACACATGCAAATAAACATCAAAATGTAGGACAAGTTCAGACTAGCCCCCATCATTTGTCCCCTTTGGACACATGAACATGTTGCACAATTAGTCTGTTTTCAGCATGAGTGTCAGGGAAGAGGGTTCCCACACTTTGGGTTCCTATGACTGCAGATAAACACTGAGCCACATTGGCCAAGCAGTATCAGGAATGTGTCACAATGCCTGCATTCCCTCTGTGCAAGATGGGTAACATTTTCAACAGCACCCTAAATGACCGAGTGGGTACGCACAAAACAATGACAATTTTAATGTTTCTCTTCTACATTTTGCTAAATTTAGAGTTTTGGCACATATTTGAGTATCACAGGGATTTTCATTGTCGTACCTAGAGCTAGTCCAAGCATCCTGAGTGGTACTTTGTTTTAATTATCAAGTATTTTATGAGATGACTCAAATGCTTTTTGTTCATAATTCTTAGATCTGTTGGGCACTAGACTTGAAAACGAAGGGGACAATCTCCTGCAGACACAGGCTTGTCTGTGTTATATTTGTGCTGGGAATGTAGAGAAACTAGTTGCGTGTTGGACTAGAGCTCAGGATGGAAACAGCCCCTTGTCCCTTCAGGTTAGTGTCTTTGTGAAGAAAAGTGTTGAGTGACATGCTGTAATAATTTGGTGTGGTACTTTTGGTAAGTATGTGAGTTTGGCTTTTAAATAAGTTTATTTTTATACGGGATTTTGACAGACTTGCATATCCCTCAGCATGAAAGTGATGTGTTACTTTAATGAGTAAAATAAGATTATTTATAAATGGCCTGTGGTGACACTATATTGCAAAACATGTTAAATGTTTATCTCAGCTTGTAAAAATAAGGCTGTTGCATTTTTTAATTTATATACTTTCTTTGCAAGGGTTGATATATCATTTAAATTCATTAGAGACCTTGATTTGTTTTGTAATTCTTGCTTTTGGAATAGATGGTTTAGAAACTTTGGGGACGAAGTACCTAAAAGTAAAACCCAGAATAGTTAGTCACAGGTGTTTTTGAAGGTGGACATGGATATATTTATTTTTTGGACTTATATATATGTGTTGTGCTTAAGGCAAAGTCAATATCTGTTTCCCCACTATAAGGGAATTCTTGCATTTTTTCTTTTTATGATGCTGTCCTATGAAATTGCTTTGGACTTCAATTTTAGAAGTAGCTTATTGTAATACTGCCACGCAGGTCAATATTTGCAGTGGGCTGAAGAAAACAGAAATATTTTTGATCTGTATTTTATGTTATCATGTATTTGTAGTTGAATTTCAAATAACTAGAATTACTTTTCAGTCTTCTGAACAAGATTTCCTTGTTACAAAAATATCTCAGATTTGAATTTGCATTTTGATTGTTTTGCTTCACCAGTTCAGACTATAAAAACCACAAATGAGCTAATATTAGGCCTCAGCGAACGGTGATATGGGAGAATGGACATCCCAGAAACTATTATTTTAATCCTGGCGGGGGGGGGGGAGGGGGAGGAGCTTGGCTATTTATTAAGATATTCACTTACTGGGAAAAAACATGACTGAACTAGAGAACAGTCCAATAAACACATAATACTAGTGGTGTACTATTGCGATTCATGTGTGGGTCTGGATTTTTTAAACATTGTACCTTCATTAATGGTCTAGAAGAGGGAGTAAACTGTACATGAATGAAATTAACAAATTATACTAAACTGGGAGCTATTGCAAACACAAGTGAGGATGGAGGAATAAGAGAAAGATAAGAAATGTGAACAGAAAATAACACAATGAGATTAGGATGACCAGATATCAAGTATGAAAAATCGGGACAGAGGCCGGGGAGTGGGGGATAATAGGCACCTATACTGTATAAGACAAAGCCCCAAATATTGGGACTGTCCCTATAAAATCGAGACATCTGGTCATCCTAGGTGAGATGCAACTGGGGAAAAAAATACTAATGACATCTGGGAGAAAAATAATCCAAAACACAGCTGGTCAATGGGAAGGAGGAAACTGGGGAATAGGTTTCAGAAAGAGAGCAAGGGTTGATAGTAGACATTTCATTGAACACGGAGTTTGCAGTGCTGTTTGGTAGTTAAAATTTTTGGAAAAAAAGGGCCAATGCAGTTTTGGGCTGCATATACAGAGGCACAGTTGTTAAAGGGTGGTGCAAGCAATGAGGAGAATTATTTTGAATGGTACATGGGTTTAACTAGGAGTCATGGAATGGAATCAAGAAATTGAAAATTTATGATGAATATCAAGAACAATTTCTTGTCAGTAAGAACGATTAGACTGTGGAATAGTCTCCCAGAGGGAGTGGTTGAATCTTCTTTGCTTAAGACGGTTAAAACTAGAATTGCCAAAACACTATTAATGGTAAGTTAGGGAACAGTCCTGCATTGGCGAGAAGATGGATTAGATGACCTAACTGGTCTTTCCCATCTCTGCTTTATGTTTCTAGAAAAATTTTGTAACAGCAGTAAATAACATTCTTTTGTTGACTAATACTAGAAAAAATGGCTGCTGATAATCAACAGGTACCTTAGATCTCATAAAATAAGAATTTAAAAAAGCTTTTCTTTATGGAGTAACCAGATTACTACTGGTTTATTTAATGTCAGTACATTTTAAAATGCACTGAAATTAATGGTCACTGATTACTGTTCTGTTATCTTGCTGTCTCTGAATGTTACACAGAAAACCAGCTAATAATGGTTGGGAAAATCTTTATTTTCACTCTGTTTAAAATAATGTAATGAGAACTGTGTAGTATGCAAGGTTGACCTTGAGTCTGTTACTGACATGCTGTAGTTAGTGGCCATTTTCTCTCAGTTGATCCCATTAAGTTGCTGTTTTTCCCTCTGTCATAATCCCCCAGGACCTCATTGAGAAAGTAGTAATCCTGCGTAAGGCTGTGCAGTTTACACGATCTATGGACGCTGATGCTGTCGGGGTTCTTCTGGCTGAGAAGATGAGTCAGTATGCCAATCTGTTGGCTGCACAGGGCAGCATTGCTACTGCATTGGCTTTCCTTCCGGCAGACACCAACCAGGTAAATGGCCTTAACTTTCCTTCTACCCCCTTCTAGATGAACAAGCTTTAATTGAAGACCTTTGCGTGGCACATATAGTGTAGAAAACTGTCACTTGAAGACATGTTCCAATGTGGTTTGGGGTGGTTCTTCCCGCTCAGAACTGCATTGACAGGGATTATTATTGTGGGTAGGTGGGAAAAGTCACTGGAATGGAACATGGTCTCAGTATAATCGTCTCCTGGTGCCTCAGAAGTTAAAAGTGTGTGGGGGGGGAGGGTGGAAAATAAATCAAGGTAAAGC